TTAGAAGCTAAAATTTAGTATGCACATGAGGGGGCGTACTGAAATACTCTCCCACGAACAAGTTAAGCTAGTGATTTCACTCGGTATAAAAGCGGAAAATCACTTGTTCAAATCCAACCATCACCTAATTGATAATTCAAAGATTCTTATGTATCATACCTAAAATATAATTTGCACATTAAGAGGCGTGTGGAAGTATTAATACTGACTTAAGTTATATCTTCTCCATTAGCTTCAACTTTTAAAGTAGATAGTCGTCTAGCTCTTTCCCCAATGCCTTACCCTCCACTTGAACTCTCTATTCCTGTTGGAGAGAGAAATGAGAGGAAGGTGAGAGGTCAAAAAAAAAATGGGAAAGTAGAAAGTTGGAGCAAAAATTATGAGCTAAGCGGTTAAAAATAAAATGATTAGTAATATTAAGAATTTTAATTTTTTTTAAATGCTAAGTAATATTAAGAATTTTAAAATTTTTTTAAAAAATAAAAATTAGGAATATGAGTTTGGATGGTACCCTAATATAGGATATAAGATGACTTTTGTCACCAATTATGATGTGTCCAAGTTTCCTACCAATAAATGTCAAATTGACACATCATGACTCTATAATTGCTAGCTAACTCCACAAGATTGAGGCAATCAATGTAACCTTTCTATTGATATTTCATGTGGGTAAATAGTGAAATACATGATTCTTTAGGGCCCCCAAAATTTTGGCATTGACCATGCAAACAAGAAATGAAGCATCTTAAAAATGGGTGTTGGCCTCCCTTTTTGAAGAAATTTCAGTGCCACAATAGTTCCACTTGGTACCCTTTTTGGTTGCCTTCTCACAGGACAATAATTTCCACCCAATACTATCATGGGTCCCTTTGCCATTACTTTCTCCTAAAAAGTGTGGAAATATGGAGGAAAAGTTGTCCATCTTATTTTTGGCTTTAGGAGGCTTGGTCTTTTAGTGGGACCCAATTCTCCAGTCATGGGGTAGACCCTTTCAAGTCCAACTGTAGAACCATCTATTGTTTCCTATCTTTGTGGCATGTCATGCATGCACTGTTCTGTTTGGCTAATGGGTTTTAATGTTAGTCTATTTTTGCTGTTTTCAAGTTGCTATACATTGCTTTCCTTATCTAGTCAGAAAGATATTTGAAGCCATATTGTGAGAACAATGTCTAAGAAGGCAAAACCCTTCANGGCGTGTGGAAGTATTAATACTGACTTAAGTTATATCTTCTCCATTAGCTTCAACTTTTAAAGTAGATAGTCGTCTAGCTCTTTCCCCAATGCCTTACCCTCCACTTGAACTCTCTATTCCTGTTGGAGAGAGAAATGAGAGGAAGGTGAGAGGTCAAAAAAAAAATGGGAAAGTAGAAAGTTGGAGCAAAAATTATGAGCTAAGCGGTTAAAAATAAAATGATTAGTAATATTAAGAATTTTAATTTTTTTTAAATGCTAAGTAATATTAAGAATTTTAAAATTTTTTTAAAAAATAAAAATTAGGAATATGAGTTTGGATGGTACCCTAATATAGGATATAAGATGACTTTTGTCACCAATTATGATGTGTCCAAGTTTCCTACCAATAAATGTCAAATTGACACATCATGACTCTATAATTGCTAGCTAACTCCACAAGATTGAGGCAATCAATGTAACCTTTCTATTGATATTTCATGTGGGTAAATAGTGAAATACATGATTCTTTAGGGCCCCCAAAATTTTGGCATTGACCATGCAAACAAGAAATGAAGCATCTTAAAAATGGGTGTTGGCCTCCCTTTTTGAAGAAATTTCAGTGCCACAATAGTTCCACTTGGTACCCTTTTTGGTTGCCTTCTCACAGGACAATAATTTCCACCCAATACTATCATGGGTCCCTTTGCCATTACTTTCTCCTAAAAAGTGTGGAAATATGGAGGAAAAGTTGTCCATCTTATTTTTGGCTTTAGGAGGCTTGGTCTTTTAGTGGGACCCAATTCTCCAGTCATGGGGTAGACCCTTTCAAGTCCAACTGTAGAACCATCTATTGTTTCCTATCTTTGTGGCATGTCATGCATGCACTGTTCTGTTTGGCTAATGGGTTTTAATGTTAGTCTATTTTTGCTGTTTTCAAGTTGCTATACATTGCTTTCCTTATCTAGTCAGAAAGATATTTGAAGCCATATTGTGAGAACAATGTCTAAGAAGGCAAAACCCTTCAACTGAAGTTGCAAGAAGCTCATTTCATTGTAACCAAGTTTGAGAAAGAGTGACCATTAAGTACTAGTTCTAGTGATTTACAATTTGTTTGGAAGCTATGAAACCACTTCATCTTTTCAATTGGAGTAGTATTTCAAGGGGTCTTAACCTCGACAAAGAATTTCTCGATCTGGAGGAAATAGGAGTTTTCAGAGGAGGACCTCAACCATATAAAACGACTTCAGGGGACTTAATTTTATAAATAATGTGGAATACAAACTCTCTTCAAATCATACCTAGCCAACGAATTTTTAAACATGTTCCAAAGTCTGTATCCAAGAAATAGAAAGCTAGAGATGTCATGGAAGTTCAACTATTCGACATATCATTTTGCTAATGCGAGTTTTCAATTGAAGATGTGAAGTTAGGCATGATTTCTATTTGCCAATTTGAGGAATTTAACAAAAAATTCACTCTCCGTAATGGCCCCAATCTCACTACCAGATCAACATGCACAAGAAGCAAAACAATGAGAAATTTGTAGAAGTTTCAATATTCGATACATATCCTTGTGCTTATGCGAGTTTTAAATAGAAGATATGTGAAGGTAGAACATATACTCAAGTCTATTTGCAAATTCAAGGAATTGCACNACAATTCATTACTAACACATTCTCTTCGATTTTATATTGGTGGAACATGTGCGCTACATGAAATTTATAATCTTCTTGCACCTTTAGTCACCTCACTCATCTCCCCTAGTCACAACCTTGTTAACCATCATCTAAACTAAAAATTTATTTGTTAGAGAGAAAAAATCACATAAGAATATATATACGTCAACACGCCCCTTCATGCGCAAATTACATTTTAGGCCAAACACTTGGGAGTTTTTTATTATTAGGATGGCAGCGGAATTTAAACGTATGACCTTTTGCTTTAATACCATGTTAGCCACCATCAAGGTTAGAAGCTAAAATTTAGTATGCACATGAGGGGGCGTACTGAAATACTCTCCCACGAACAAGTTAAGCTAGTGATTTCACTCGGTATAAAAGCGGAAAATCACTTGTTCAAATCCAACCATCACCTAATTGATAATTCAAAGATTCTTATGTATCATACCTAAAATATAATTTGCACATTAAGAGACGTGTGGAAGTATTAATACTGACTTAAGTTATATCTTCTCCATTAGCTTCAACTTTTAAAGTAGATAGTCGTCTAGCTCTTTCCCCAATGCCTTACCCTCCACTTGAACTCTCTATTCCTGTTGGAGAGAGAAATGAGAGGAAGGTGAGAGGTCAAAAAAAAAATGGGAAAGTAGAAAGTTGGAGCAAAAATTATGAGCTAAGCGGTTAAAAATAAAATGATTAGTAATATTAAGAATTTTAATTTTTTTTAAATGCTAAGTAATATTAAGAATTTTAAAATTTTTTTAAAAAATAAAAATTAGGAATATGAGTTTGGATGGTACCCTAATATAGGATATAAGATGACTTTTGTCACCAATTATGATGTGTCCAAGTTTCCTACCAATAAATGTCAAATTGACACATCATGACTCTATAATTGCTAGCTAACTCCACAAGATTGAGGCAATCAATGTAACCTTTCTATTGATATTTCATGTGGGTAAATAGTGAAATACATGATTCTTTAGGGCCCCCAAAATTTTGGCATTGACCATGCAAACAAGAAATGAAGCATCTTAAAAATGGGTGTTGGCCTCCCTTTTTGAAGAAATTTCAGTGCCACAATAGTTCCACTTGGTACCCTTTTTGGTTGCCTTCTCACAGGACAATAATTTCCACCCAATACTATCATGGGTCCCTTTGCCATTACTTTCTCCTAAAAAGTGTGGAAATATGGAGGAAAAGTTGTCCATCTTATTTTTGGCTTTAGGAGGCTTGGTCTTTTAGTGGGACCCAATTCTCCAGTCATGGGGTAGACCCTTTCAAGTCCAACTGTAGAACCATCTATTGTTTCCTATCTTTGTGGCATGTCATGCATGCACTGTTCTGTTTGGCTAATGGGTTTTAATGTTAGTCTATTTTTGCTGTTTTCAAGTTGCTATACATTGCTTTCCTTATCTAGTCAGAAAGATATTTGAAGCCATATTGTGAGAACAATGTCTAAGAAGGCAAAACCCTTCAACTGAAGTTGCAAGAAGCTCATTTCATTGTAACCAAGTTTGAGAAAGAGTGACCATTAAGTACTAGTTCTAGTGATTTACAATTTGTTTGGAAGCTATGAAACCACTTCATCTTTTCAATTGGAGTAGTATTTCAAGGGGTCTTAACCTCGACNTGATTAGGAGACTTAAATTTTTTTTGGTTCAATAATTAGAGATATTTGAGTTAACTTACGTACATCTCGACTAATCTTTTTTTCGGTCCAGTCAAAGACAGGTTATCTACACCGGAACAATAGTATTCATAAGAGATAAATTTCTCATGATCTGTTCAAAAGAATTGCCAAATTCAAACTCAAAACGTCTGAGTTTATAGTTCATTTTAATTATCATTTAAGCTACTCCTTAGAATTCTTAAGAGACATAATTAAAAGATCTAATAAAACATAATTATTAAATTAGGAATATATTCTTACATTAAATGAAGTTGACTATTAATATAATAATTATTTTGTATTAAATCTTCAAATTAAATTCTTAAATTAATTACAAAATGACATATTATTCTGCCTAAAATTAAAAACCACATAATACAAAGTACAATTCAAGATGCAGCTGCTGTTACATCTGTCGTCCTAAAATTGAACACAAAATTTATGAAGGGCAATTTTGTCATTTCAAAATAGAAAGGATGCCTTCAAACTTCTGTTCTAAACCACGCGCACTGTTCAGCAGAGGTGAGGACTGTTCTGTTCTGTTCTGTCTGCAGCTTGAGAAGATGAGAACAAAACAACCATTGAATATTGGTACAACAGTGATATGCTGGTATTATTTTTGCGAATTCAGATATTCGAAATTTAAATAATAATAATTAATCAAAATTAGTTTATGAGAAATTTATTTTTTATAAATATTTTAATTTTAATATAAATTAATTAATGTGCATGTAAAATAATTTAAACACCCTCGACAGTTTAACCAAAAAAAATTAAAAAATTAATGATATTACGTCAATTCATTCTCGCATCTTAATCTAATATCAATTTATATATTTGCAGTCAATTTATATACTCGCACTATCTCGTCTTTGGACCATCAAATCATTGTTTTGAATTTGGGTTAAACATTTTTGAGAACTATCAAATGGGGTGTATTTTATCTATTTATTATTTTTTAATTGAATATCACGAGATATTCAAATAAAAAATATCATGGTGATATAATATTACCCTTGTAAAAATAATTTTTTCGACACAACCATCTTCTCCTTCGCCACGTGTCTAATATCCAGACACCTTTCTTCACACCTGCCAAGAAACCCCTACGTCAGCAAAGCGAAACCTCAATCACCGCACGTGATATACAGTAACTTCCTGTGCAAACAAACCCACTGTAAAAAGACAAAAAAACCCTCGTCAATCAAAATTTAACCGCAATTGTTAATCTTCCTCCGTACGACGTTTAGCTTAAATACCCCCTCACCACGGTCTGTTCCAACCGATTCTCTCTCTCTCTAGCGAAGCACCAAAGAGAACCACAGTTGTGGGTTCTCTCTCACTCTCTCTGTGAGTACGGAAAACCTTTTTCTGGTCCTCCAAAGGCTGCTTCTGTTCTTTATCATGCGGTTGAAGCACTTTTAATGGCGGTGCTAATGCATCTCTCTTTTCTTCGGTGAGAAACATTGACTTTCTACACCTACTGATTCTCTTTAGCTTCTCTCTCTCTTCATGCATCTACTGTTTATTGTTCAAGAATTATATTGGCATCTGATTCCACAACCCAATAGCCAAATCTCACACACAATGTCCTCTTAAGAAAGTTGAACAGACCCAGCTGATCAGATTCATAAAATGTTGGAGTTTCCAAGAGACTCAGACACTGAAGAACCATTTTGTGAAGCGTTGAATTCAAGCAAGACCTCCATGAGCAGTACCGATAGTTACCCCAGTTTCTGTCGTCTCTCTTTCGACCTCCCTACAAGCTCGCCGGAAAATCTAACCCTGAAACCCCACCGATCATCGGACTCCTCTTTTCAAGCTATTCGGTCAGCAGTATTGCGCCGGAAAAACTCCGGATTGAGTTTCAGAGACTTCAGTTTGGTCCGACAGATCGGAAGTGGAGACATTGGTAAGGTTTATCTCTGCAAATTACGCTGCGATGAGAGCTGTTTTTATGCTATGAAGGTGGTGGATAAAGAGGCTCTGGCTTTGAAGAAGAAGATTCAGAGAGATGAGATTGAGAAAAAGATCTTGAAAATGTTGGACCATCCATTTTTGCCAACTCTCTACGCTGAATTTGAAGCTTCCCATTTCTCTTGTGTTGTAATGGAGTATTGTTCTGGGGGTGATTTGCATTCTTTGAGGCATAAACAGCCTCACAGACGTTTTTCTCTCTCCTCTGCAAGGTGCATTCTCTCTCTCTCTCTCTCTCTCTCTCTCTCAGTGACTGTAGAATTTGAAAAAGTTTTTAAGTATTGTTTTTGAAGTTCTAAATATCAAGAACTTGTCATTAGAAAGTGGGTTTTGTTGATTTGTTTGACATTTTGCTTTGATTCTATGGTTTTGTTTGTGTCTGGGACAATAGAAAAAGGACCACATATGTTCTCTTATCCAAAGGTGTTCTGTCTGTTTCAGCTCTGCAAAAAGTTTCCTCTATTAGAAAAAATTTTCCATTTAGTTTCTTATTTTCCAGTGGTTTTCTCGGAAAATTGATTTGGGTTGGCCGCAAATTTCAATTTCATGAAAATTTGCCATTATTAGTCTTTTCTTGCAAAATGGATTTTACCAGATCAAGCATTTCTTTTATCCACTCAAACAAGCAATCAGAGCATCTGTTTCTCTCTTTTTTGTGAAAAAAACAAAGAATATTATATATTTTTCTCTCACTCATGGCCTGTTTCGTTTCTGGGAAAATTTTGGGTCTGCATTTTTTCTGTATGGTTCTCGAGAAAGTGGGGGGGGAAATTGAGTATTATCTTTTATTAATTTTTTTTCTTCCTCAGGTTTTATGCAGCTGAAGTGTTGGTGGCTTTGGAGTACCTTCACATGTTGGGGATAATCTACAGAGACTTAAAGCCAGAAAACGTATTGGTTAGATCGGACGGTCACATTATGCTCACAGACTTTGATCTCTCTCTTTGCTCAGATGCAATCCCAGCCGTTGAATCACCTGACTTTTCTTCAGACCCATCATCATCACCCTCGGTAACACAAAAGATCCAAACACTCACTCCTTTTTCATGTATCTCCAACCGGCTGTTCCGGTCGAAGAAGGTCCAAACAATCTCAACCAACCGGCTGTTCGTGGCTGAACCGGTCACAGCCCGGTCATGTTCTTTTGTTGGGACCCACGAGTATGTGGCCCCAGAGGTCGCCTCCGGTACGCCGCACGGGAATGCAGTTGATTGGTGGGCCCTAGGGATTTTCATGTACGAGATGTTGTATGGACGAACACCATTTGCCGATGTAACGAATGAAGCTACACTGCGTAACATAGTAAAAGAACCATTGACTTTTCCTACTGACGCGCCCAGTAGTTTGTGTGAAAAGCACTTGCGGGACTTGATATCCGTGTTGTTGGTGAAGGATCCGAATAGTAGACTCGGGGCGAAGCGTGGGGCGGCGGACATCAAGACCCACCCGTTTTTTAATGGCTTGAATTTTGCGCTCATAAGGACAGTGACCCCACCGGGAGTTCCAGGAATGAGGAGAGAGAAAGCGACGACGTCCGTTCATAACGCGAGACAAACGGCGCCGTTTGAGTTCTTTTGATTTGATCTCATATTTGCTAAGCCACGTGATGTGCGCCACGTGGCACCACTTTTCTTCACGTATACAATCAAAAAATATGTATATACAGGTTATTTATGGGCGATATTAGCTAGGAATGGAACTTGGAGATGTGTGAGAGGAGCAATGGAAGGAATTTAAATAGAATATCAAACGATTCTGGCCTTTTGAATCAGTGCATCTCATAAATCTTTTTTGATTGATTTGTAGAGGTGGTTAAGTCTAATTTTCTGGTTCAACACTTTTTACACGAGTAATGCAGATAAATTTAAAAATTAGATTTAAAAATTAAATTTGATAATATCAATCATTGAATAGGTAGTGAGTCTTAATAAATGCTGAAACTCACAGTAAAATCAATGATTAAAATTATTAAATTTATTTTTTAAATCTATATAACATTGCTCATTCTATATTCTTTAAGGGTTACTCTTCCGTCAATATCATGATTTATATTTACCTAATCTTTGAGTTTATTCTGAGTTCGAGGGGTAGTTTACGACCCAATAGCAAAAGAAGGAAGCAGTCAATGTTTGTGGCTAGATTAGATTAGCTCAATTGTTCAGGATAGTTATATTATACAACACAAGTATCAGAATATATATTTTGTATTCAATCAAAAAGTCATATATTTTGTTAAACAACAATATATTTAATTAGGGATTTAATTATTGGGTGATTATCATCCACAACCCTCAAGATAGTTATATTTCAATAAGATTTCGTCTATGATCAAAAAACATCACCCACATTCCTTACCATTAAACAATCGTTTTTAACAAAAAAAAAAAATTCATCTAAAATACTAAAATTACCCTTACACAAACCCCAAATAATCTTTCAACATAAAATTTAATTAAAATTTGAGCCTATTCGAACTCAACTTAAGCTTAATTATTTCTTGCTATCGTCACTGATACCACATCTATTTATCACCCTAGAGTAATAAAATGCCATTAATAGCTTTGAGTTTACAGCACTTTTATGTTATGTTGTTCAAGTCTTATGCTTCGTTTGTCAGAAAAGATTAAAAATAAGAGGGATGGAAAAGTGGAATAGATATATTTTGTTTTTCTTTGTGTTTGGTAGAATTGATGAAAAATAAAAATAATTAATTTTTTTTTGTACTTGGTAAAATCAAAAAAATAAATTTTAATTTGTTTAAATTTTAAATTTTAATTTTTTTAAAAAAAGTATAAATACATATTTTATTGTTATTTTTATATATGAAATTAATGTATCCATAATATATGTATATATCAAAAGATATATACACAAATAAGATACATTTTAACATAAATAATTAATTTTTCATTCACTTTCTTTCTAATTTTAAAAGGGTTGATTTTAGTGAGTTAAAAAAAAAGTTTATTTATCCACTTTTTCATCATTCATATTTTTTTTTATCAAACATAATATTTTATCTATCTTTTTAACTTTATATTCTTCTAACTCTCTATCATTTTATTTTTTTCATCGTACTAAACGGCACATCAGTCTAAATCTTGTATCCCGAATTCATGTACACCTAACACTATACATTTTATTTTATGGGTCCCAAAAACCAACTTTTTCATTCAATGTATGGACCCATGCATTTAGAATATAAGATTTGGGATAAGACTAGGACAACTTAGTATTTTTTTTTTTTTTTTTTGGTTTAATCTAGCAATTCAACCCACTCATTTATCACCAACAACGGGCATGTCCTTTATATTTCGAAATCCTCAGACACACGCTCCATCGGAGAGTGGGTTGGATCTTGGAAAGACACGGGTGAGTCCGTTTTGACAACACATGCCAACCAGACAGAGGCCTACCAGCTCATTTTCAGAGCACTGCCAACTTGCTGTCCCAAACCCCTACGCCACAAAAAAATCAAACAATAGCTGGCCCACAATAAACAAATGATAATCGGACGCGTGGCATTCCTCCAGCTGCCCACATCTCACTTTCTCTAACCGAAAATATTGCCCATTCACTTTTTTTAGGGAAAATAACATCCGGCCACTAAAAGGTTTGTCCTTTAATCACTTAAATTTTTTAATATTTAAAATATTTCATATAAATCAATACTTAAACTCCTGTCATCAATGTTCCTTCGTAAATCTTTTAGTAAATTAAATTCAAATCCCTTAAAATTTGTGGATATATAATATTTAAACCCTTCAAATTTAAAATATTACACTTAAACCACTTATTAGTTACAAAACTAATGAAATTTATTAAACGATCAAATTATCACAATTAAAGATAGAAGATATTACATTTATTACGATTTGATCCCTTATTTGGTTTTTAAGATTTATTGTAATAGATACTATAATTGTATACTAATTATATTCTTTTTAAGAAAAAAATTAAATTTTTATTTTTAATTTTATATCAGTAAATGACATAATATAATATGAATTTTAGTTGTTTAAATTTAAAATATCTGATATTCTATTTTTGATTTCAGTATTTTTACTTTAAGTGTAATATTTTAAACTTGAAAAGTATTAGTGTCATATACATACAAACTTCAGAGAATTTGAATGTAATTTGTAAATATTGACGNACATTGACGATAAAAATCTAAGTGTTATGCGTGTACAAATTTCAAAGAGTTTATGTGATATTTTAAATGTCAAAGAATCTAAGTAATTAAGTGACAAACATCAAAATATTTGAATATAATTCTTCTCTTATTTTTTTTTGTATAAAGAATATGTACATAAAAAAAAAATAGATAACAAGATTCAAATTCACGACTATTAAATTTAATGATGGGTTGGCAGTTATTAGACTAACCGTTGAATCCTCGTGTTGGTGTATCATTCATGACCCAAAAAATTAGAGATCTCATCGGTCATCATGTGACAAGCCTATGGAATCGAAATTCAATCAAAGGTATTAATTTCGTGTTCGGTTTATGTCATGTTAACATGTTGTGTTAAAAATTAACAATTCTAGTATCAAGTCTTACGTTATTAATTTTACATTAGGGGTGTCAAAGTATAACACGACTCGTTAACATGATATGAAAATTACACAAAATTATAGGAATTAGGTCTTCCTTAAACCACCAGTCTAGTAAACGAGTGGACTCTTTATGACAAGATTAATAAATGAATCAGATATAGATGAATCCAATCAGAAAAAATATACGACACGACTCGTTTATATACCAATTATATATGGTTAATACACGACACGAACCAGATATGACATGATCGTTAAATATCAATTAATAAACAAATTAGGTATAAATTTAATATTTTTTGACATGAACCCACTAAGACTCAACATGAACACGTCTCTTTCGACTCGATTGACAGACTTATTTTACACTGCTTCAACTATAAACGTCCATTACGAATTTGATGGAAATTTGTTTTAGTTTGTCCCTCGAACTATATATTTTTTTATTTGCGATTTCTGTCTAAAAATCAGTGAATATATGTGTGTTTGAAGCAATATAAAATAATTCAATTAAAATTGATAATGACAAATTATTTTTTAATCATAGTTTTGGAGTAAAATTATTTTTAATTACTGATGATCTAAAAATAATTTAATCAGCTTATGCACATCTCGATTAATTTTCTCCCTAGTCTAGTCAAAGACAAATTATCTACGTCAGGATTAGGATATTCATGAGGAATAAATCTCTCATTGTCTAGCCTAAAAAATTATCAAAGTTCGAATTTATGATGTCTAGGAGTACAGTTCGTCTCTGCTATTACTTAAGTTACCTTAGGGTTATGGATTAGATTAGTGTGTGTGTGAGAGAGAGAGAGAAAGAGAGATAGTGCGTCACCGCCCACAGTTTTTTTAATCAAGGATAAATTACACTTTGACCCTCTTAAATATGATTTTTTTTACATTGTCTCCTTATTAGCATTCTTTTTTTTACATTGCATCAAATCTTTTGTGATTAATTTTATACTACGGGTGTCAAAATATAATATAACACGTTAACACAACACAAAAACAACTTGAAATTAGAGGGGTTGAGTCTTCGTTAAGCCACCCGTTTAGTAAACAAGTAGATTCGATATAATACCATTAATAAACAAATCGGATTTGAATGAAATCAATTAGAAGAAATACACGACACGACTTGTTTATATACTAGTTATATACGGTTTATATACGATGTGAACCCGATATAACACGATTCGTTGGAGATGAATTAATAAACGAATCAGATATGAGTTGAGTATTTTTTGATAGAAACCTATTTTATCCGACATGATTGACAGACCTATTTTCTATTGCTTCAACTATTAACATCTATTACGTATTCGATGAATATTTATTTTATTTTATCCCTTGAACTATATGATTTTTTTTCAATATATCCAGACATGTTAGCGATTTCTGTCAAAAAAAACAGTGAACACTTGTGTTTGAAGCAAATATAAAATAATTCAATTAAAATTGATAATGACTAAATATTTTTAATCATAAATTTGGAGTAAAATTATTTTTAACTACTGATCTAAAAATAATACAAGGCAAAAAATTAACAATGGGATAAATAATAATATACCAAGAAAATATATAAATTTTGAAAGTATTATATTGCCAATCTTAAAAATGTGAGGTCCGCATGCAACGTAACTTGTGCCTATATGACTAGTGAGCTTCTAAAGAGCAATGTTAGAGCATTTTCAAGAGAATGACTAAAATTTCCAAAGAGCTAAAATTTAGTTATTCAACAGCTAAAACCATGCTCCAGCAAACGATGCTAAGAATAGGTAAAATACAATTTACTATAGTAATGCTCTATATGTAGAGTATTATTGTAGCATCATATATAAATAGTTTATAATACATTCTTCCTCCTATTGTCTTTTCTCACCTTTCTTGTCCACTCATTGTCATTCTTTTCATTCTCTCTCTCTACAATATTTCCAANCACCTTTCTTGTCCACTCATTGTCATTCTTTTCATTCTCTCTCTCTACAATATTTCCAAATAAAAGAACAAATATGCAAAATAAGATTTTAAAGAAGTAGTTAAAACATAGAAAATCTGTTGAATCGTATATTGAAAAAGTGAGTAGTTAAAATAAAAAAAAAGAGTATTGTTAAATGGACTTAAAAATTAGATTTAATAATTTTAACTATTGAATAGGTAGTGGGTCTTAATAAATACTGAGACTTACAATAAAAT